CAATACCTAGGCACACAGCAACCACTTATCACGCTCTAGTTTCCACAGAAAAGAAGCCCTAGTGCACAGGCGGGACTGGAGCTCTGGCAAGTTTGACCAGCTCCTGATCTCAGCAAATGGAAGTGCAAGGAGTTAAGCCACATGTCACCATGCACCTATACATTGGTCAGAGTATGGGCTTTGTGCACAGGAGAAGCATTTCTAAGAGTCAATGTTATTGTTAGTTAGCATTTGTTCTTTTTGAAATCTAAGAATGTATATATATACATATATCCTTGACAACTAACTGCAAGAAAAATCTACATCACTGCTTTTCAACAGTATCAGTACTGGATTAGTGTACACATGCATAATGCCTCGATTCTTATTTCATGCTCCTGTAGCTACACAACTGCAAGGAGTTTGTTTTAGTGGAATACACTCCTTACACAGTGTGGTAAGTAATATATAAGAATATACAGCTAGGCTCAAAAACATCTGAGTTAATTACAAATGTAAGTATACTTGGAAGCCTGCTGCGACTGGTGATTATTTATAGCGCCTAAAACCACAGTCATGGACCAGGACTCCACTGGGCCACGCAGGGTAACACACAGACCAAAGACAGCTCCTGTAGCAAGCTCCCTCCATAGGGCTGTTAGCAGTTTCAAGTTGAACAAGAGTTTTGTAACAGAACATAGCAGATGACACACTGAGTAGAACTTCTGTTTTCAGCGTATAGCTTCTGACTCAGCTGGAGAAGATCGCTTTGGCAGAACTCAGTTTAAGTTCTACCCATAAAACAGGACTATCCTACACCTAGATTTATTGGCAATTAGATTAGGATACTTTCAAATATAAGTGATTAGGATACTTTCAAATATACGTAAGCCTTTTTGCTATGGGACTAAAGCAGGAAAATTTGTTCTTCTGTATTCTTTCTGACCCCTGCTACACATAATTTTTAAACCATGGAAAGAGTCATCCTGAGGTTAAAGTATTTTGTCCATTCATGAATGATTTCATCGGATTAAATAGGCTCAGGAATTTATCATCTCAGTTGTTCTGTGTGAATTTCTCTTTCTTCAAAAAAGCCTTTTTCTTTCTGCACTGATATATGAACATTTTCAGAATGATTTAGAAAAGGAAGTGAAATAGTCTGGACTCAGAAACAAAAATCTGAAACTGCAGCACAGTCGTATCTGGTTCTATTGCTACAGTATATCACTTATGTAAATTTTACAAATATATACAAATATATACAAATATTTACTAATATATAAATGTTACAAATTTCTCTCATATTTTTGAATCAGAATTGAAATCATCTCTTGCAAATTTCCTATATGCAGAACCAGAAATTATCTGATTTACATAATTAATCCAATTGACTTTAAAATGATGGTTTATACGTATAAGAAAAATATGACCGAGGAAAGAAATTTTGCAAATTAGCACTTAAAGGGTTACTATGAAGTTGAAAAGTTACATTGTAAGTTCTCAGAACCTCTGAACATCTGCCTCAGAGGCTGAAGTCACTTGATGCTGGAATGATAGCTAGCAAAAAAATAATTTACCTAACTTTTGTAATTCATTAAAGTTTGCAAAAATTAAACAAATGTGGCATATTTTCCTTGTGCAGCTTCCTGTCCACACAGCAGCTGTTTCAGTGTTTCTCTTTTTCAGGATTTAATTGGGGGGATTAATATTCTTACACAAACATTTCCACATGCAGCGTAGCTACAAGCCATCTGTAGATGTTGGATTTAGTAATATATACCTCAAACCACTCACAAATACTTCTAGCTCGCTCCAAGAGCTATGTTCCTAGAATGACAAGAGCACAATGCTTTACACAAAATTACATTCACACAATTTCTTTCATCTCATTATGCTCCCAAAGCAAATTACAAGCTGAACGAATATTCCGTTTCCCCCATTCACATGTCACTGGTTACATATGATTCGTTAAATACATTGCATGAGGTGATTTCTTTGCCTCGGCTAGTGGTTGTGGATAATTGTACGTAATGGAACGCGGAACGGTAAATTTCAGCGTTAGCATCGAAAGCCTGTTCAGGACTAAAGAGCCCACTTCCCATGCTCCATCTCACGCGCGTTCGCGGAAAAGCACAAACATATATACAGGGGCAACCAAATCGCATTTCTTTTTAAAGTAAAGCAGACAATCACAACTGTTTGGTGTTATTTTCATTATTCTATTACACACACGAATCACTTCAGCACTCAAAGAATGAGAGGAATATATTATATAAAGGAATATATTATATAACAGTCACAGAACGGAGGTGAAAACACAATGGAAAATTACGATGGCCTAAAATATAGCCTTTCAACCTGGGGAGGTAACTTCAGGCTTTAGAAGGATTAAGATTAAAAAGAGGAAAAAATAAAACCAAAAGAGTAGTATTTACAGCATCGCGTTACAGAGGAAATCTTCCAGCAGGCAGTGAGACTTAAGCGATTTGAAATGCTTGAGTCCCTGTGTTAACCTGACAATCTGAAAGGGATCACTTTTCCTTACTTTTTAATGCTTCCCCAGTTCTTCTTCCTGCCAGCTCGGGTGGCAACTGGAAAATTACTAACACTATTTGATTTAAGAAAGTAAAAATGACTAGACAGACAGATGTTTTTTTGCAATCTCCAATGTAGAGCTTGCTACTAAAATGGCTGTTGGAGGCTGGTTGTAAATAGAGTTACATGATCCCTGTGCATTTCATCCCGCCAGCCAGTGCACGTGCTCTGGACCTCTAGTGCCTCCCATCTCACTGCAAAAGTGACTCCAAAATCTGCCAGAGTCTGAATGCAGCTCAACAGACTGGAACCATAAATCATATGACACTCATGCTTTATGCGAAAAATTTCAGAGAACAAAAGGAATCATCCTGCTACAGCGCACTTTTAAAGACTGCATCCTTGTGTGATTCACATACAAAAGTTCAAACTAATGGCAACAGTTCATAGGCAGTAAGGGAAATAACAGCAATCAATGCTATTTTTAAAAGGAAGAGTGGGGGCGAGGGGTTAACATATGTGGAATTAGCTCTAGGCAAAACGAGAAGCCATTGCATCTAAAATCAAATGCATTCTCTGAAATAGACACCGGAGCCCAAATTCCCATGTAGACTCCTGCCGTCCAAGAGTTTCAGCAGAATTTGGCCTTCCTCTTAACTTAGCTTCATTAGGTCATATCATGCCATCAATTTTTATGTTGGACACCCTACTTACTTCACATCAGTTGTTGGCACTATGTAGGCAATTTTCCGAATTGGAGGGCGGGGGGAAGGGTGGTGTGTGCGCAGGGGAGAAGAGATTTTTTTCCATGTAGAATAAGTCACTTCTTAGAACAGTTTGAGGGGGGAAAGTGATATTTGTATCCCTTCTGCCAGATGTCACCAGTGGCAACAAGAGCCAAGATCAAATATCTATCCATCAAATTCTTCCTAAAATTTTTCAGCACCAGCTGGTCAATACTCCATTCAGAAAACTAGGAAAACTGACCGTCTTCCACGGCCATTCCTAACCAACAGTTCTTCTCCCTTACAAGAACTATCTTGGTGCACAACTTTTTCAGGGAGGAAAAACATACAGTATTTGTAAAAGAAAAAAAACAAAAAACTTGTAGCAATTTTTTTTTTGCTCTGTTTATATGAAGCAACCGAAATAACACCCCTCCGCCAGTATCTTTTGCAACAGTCTTTTGTCTCTTTTTTCATCAGTCGCTGTCAATGTTGGATGGACTAAGGTCCCAAAGATGTCTCACTTGCCTCCTTTTCTGCCCCATGCTGTAATTTGTTCATGGTTGGCTTCAGTGCTTGGTGAGATTTGCCTTCCGCCTTAGAGGGAAATGCTTCTGAGGAAAGATGCCTTGATGTTGCCTCTGACATTAACACAGTCTCTGCACTGTCACCTCTTACTGTACCATCACCTCAAGCTGTGATGCCATCCCCTGCCCCTGGCCACAAAGCCATCTTGCGCTGTCATCCACATGAATCACCTTGCACTGCTCTGCGGCCTTTAGCCACAAAGGAGATCCAAGCTGACAGGTTGCTAACCCAGTTAGACTACACAGTTCATGAAAGAAAATTGAGATGATCTAATTCTTTCTATGTTATCTAAAGAAAAAGTTAAGCTACACAACAGAACACTTGACAATAGCACAGGGGAATAAAATCCTGAAGAAAACAAAAAAGCTATCTAAAGAGATCAGAAGGTAGGTTACAAAACTGCAAAGACACTCCTCACATACTCTTCCCCGCAGTGATGCTACTACCGAAATTTTCTGTCCGTTCTGAAAGGTAGATCCCCACCCCTTTGCTTCATGCATGCACGGCGAAAGAGGATGTCAGAGCCTTACCGAATTCTAAGATTTTCTCGGGAAACATACCAGACACGACGCCCTCCCCCAGCCAACTGTTCCGATGGATTGAGATAATATTATTTTACCTCCTGTAGCAACAAATTCACTGGGGTTTTTTTTCAAAACAATAACAGATCGTACATTTTGGGAGACAACATGACTATTATCTTCCCTAAGTGGTTTGCTACACAAACAATATTTGAACAGGACTTTTTTTTCCCCCCTTTTACTACTTGAATGACTAAGCCTCTATCACATGCAGTGTCCACAGATAACATAACAAGTTATCACATTTAAACATTCACTAAAGGCATCGCTTCAGGAGTTAGTACTGCTTCATTTCATCTGAGTCCTGGGATCAAGCATATTAGATTGTTTGGTTTTTTTTCTTTCTGCCCTACATCATACAGAGAAGTTGGTATTTTCTGCTTAAATCAGAAGAAATTCAATGCGACTCAGTCCTTTTCACATATCTAGCCACTTATCTTGTTTCATTTGCAAATATCATATGTATTCTCTCGAGATAAAAATAGTGCAAGATGATTAGTTAGGCAAGTTCATTTGACACCATTCCCCCTTCGTGACGCTGAAATCTAAAATCTGTATATGGTATACAACTTAAAGTATATATATGCAAGCTCAACACTGGTGGAGACACCCAGCAAGTGCTTTCCCCACAACCGGATTGCTTCCTTTTCCAGTCAAGAAGACCACAAAGGTAAGCTGATTAGATCCTCTGCTTTCAGAAAAAGAAACACAAAACGAAAATGCTCCCTAAATGGAAAGCATCTATGCAATTAAAAATATATATTCTTATAACAGCTTCCAGTCTGTCATACTTTTACAATCTAACATGGAATAGAATCAGCATTCCGATCACAGGATGGAAAAAGGCAGGAACGTTGCACCTCATAGCAAATGAGACTATGTTGCAGTTTTTAGGTTTTCCTTCAACTTCCCCCGTTTTTAATCCTGTCATCAGTAAGCATCAGGTGAACGGCAGAGTTACAAATTATCTCGCCAAGGGCTGAGAGCAAATACTCTGCACGAGAAGCCACTGGGACAATATAATCGATGGCAAAACTGAAGTAACTCATCTGCCTTAGCTGGAGAAACCTTCGTGGCCATCAGCATGAATTTGTCCCATTGTCTCCCTGCACCTTTTGAGATGCTCAAAAGGAGACCGAAATGACTGACAATTTCCCCTGTTGCAAACCAACAGCTATTGAGGCTGCCATTTGATTGTTTGGGCAAAGTATCAACCAACGCGTAGATCTCAGCATCAGTGCACTGACCATAAATGGTTACCAACATTGGTTTCCATCTCACATGAATGCTGCTTTCTATACTTGGACAGGAAGGATGATGTTGTTGAAGACTCAGTTTGGGATTAATGAAATCTGAGTTCTGTTCTCTTGTGATTTTCAATAATAACTTTCCCATGCCTCAGTTCCCCTTCCTGAACTAACATGTGACTGCCTCGCAGTAACGTCGCAAGTTTTAATTTCTAACCGGTCCTCATTGGTGTGTTCTCTACAACTGGAAATGCGTTGATGCTAAATTCTCGTTAATAAAATTGACTGGAAATTCAGGCCTGTAGCATTTGCTTAAGTGACATATGCTGCTTTGGTAAATACTATTTAGATTGCTGGTGGCTGAATGGGACAACGAGCATCTTTTGTCAAAAGCTGCTGTATCAGAAGGAAATGCCTCCTCCCTTCTATGAGGAATGAGTATTAAGTCTCCATACCTCTATTCTAAGCACATCAGTATATTGAAATGACAAAATCTAGATTAAAATCTTGCTTACTATAATCTATACTGAGCCAAGAAAACCACAGCTTAGTTACAAAGAGAATTTTTCCATAAAGCTACCATGAAACGTAGTCTTTTATGGAGGCAGTAGCCCAGCAGGCCAAATATATGGTACATTTACTGTGTGCAGCTAAACAGAGGAGGAATTTACTTTCTCAATGTAGGTTTCTTTAAAATGAGTAAAAATAATTTTATTTATTCCATGCTATTATTTTCATTCTTCACAAAGATCACTACATTTACTGACAATAATACTAGCTTACAAAAATTCCAATTAAATGTGTTCCAGATATAGTTCCAGGGGATGTACTCGGCCCTATATTTTATTTACGCTCTAAATATATGTCTATTTTAATTGAGTATTAATCCACCTCCAGGAAAACCTACACAGAAGTCATGAAGTTTTGTGGTGCTACATACCTTTGATTCGCTCCCTCCCAGTGCAATACAGGCATCAGATCTTCCTGAGGCCCCACACTCCAGCATGCAGAATTCCTCCCTCATTACCCAGCTTCAAGTGGAAGCACCTGCTGCAGACATCTGTTACAGTATGCTCCACTTACAATTAGATGAATAATGTCTCCCCTATCACATACTGTCACAGCAGCAACTTCAAATAGAGCCATGAAAGAGGTAGAGAAGACGTTTTAATGACTAAGTAGCTCACATTTAATTTATTTTACAGTTCAACAATGGCCATCACTGACATCCTTTCTGCTAAAGATATTGAATCTGCTCTCTCCAGCTGCCAGGGTAAGGAATGGTCTCTCTGCGACCAGAAGATGCATATCATTTTTACATCTTAAGACAACATGCCTATCATTTTCCCTTTAGATTCCTTCCCTGTGAGATCTCTTTGTAGCTCCATTACAGTATAGCCTCATGAATTCAGAAAGTCTTACAAGTGGTTATTTTGTGGGTAACGTTCCCTGAAATGCAGAGCAGCAGTTAAAGGGCCACAGTTTCAACTGATATAAGGCTGGCTTAACTCTAAACACTATTTCAATTTTTCAAACAGTTAAAGACCTAGATTTAAATATTTAGCCTTTTCCTTCAACATGTCAACAAAAAGTCTGAGCTTGCAGAATCCAAATGTCATTTCTGAAGCGATGAACAGCCTCTGCTCTCTTCCCTGGCAGGATAAAGCCAAAAATTTTCCAAATACTCAATGAGATGAAGACAGTGGATTACTTAATCTTCCACCAAATCCTTTACCAAAGTAAGGGCTAAGTGGAGATGAAATAAGAATTATAGGAATTGGTCCTTAAGCCACAGTTGCAGCCTCTAAATATTTCTCATTAATTGCATGTGACACACTGCAAAAATCCTGATTTAGCAGCATGTGCATTGTACCAGAAAAATTCAAACTGACTGAAAGGATTTATGATCACAGGCACAAAGTGATTAAAAAGGGAAAGCATACATTATATTATATTTTGCTGCACTGGGAAACAAGAGAAACAGGAGCAGGCTGATGCTTAAAGAAAAGAAATACATACTCCCAAGGAATACATACAGCAGTAGCAACTTCAAGAGAAGATATTTAAACAACTTTTTGTTTCTTCCAGCTGCTGATTCCTTCAATTACAAGTCTTTCTTCTCCACGGTTGGTTTATCCAGCAAAACTCCTGATCAGATAAAGAAAGTTTTTGGAATTCTTGATCAGGACAAGAGTGGTTTCATTGAAGAAGAGGAGCTTCAGTAAGTAGTGTTCAGCTGCTGTGCTCCTTTAGACAATGTAGGCCTATGAACTTTCTTGATGTCCTAGAAGAAACTTGCTGCTATTTTTAAACAAAATGCAATTTCTTGTCTTTTGCTGAATCTGTGTGGATTTCCTCATATATTAAGAGTAAGCGTTACACATAACCATATTTTTTGGCCTAGATTTAAGTAAGAAAAAGAGAAACACCCATTTGCCAAGGAAATTTCAGAGAATAAAATTCAAGCACAGCACGCTACCCTGTTCTATTTCAGGCTGTTTCTGAAGAATTTCTCTTCGAGTGCCAGAGTTCTAACCACTGCGGAGACCAAGGCTTTTCTGGCTGCAGGTGATACTGATGGAGATGGTAAAATTGGAGTGGAAGGTAGGATTTCTGGAAGCTTGACCAAATTTGTGTTTTAAAATGCATAACTGTAGAGCTGCATTTAAACTATGGCACCCAAGAACGCATCCAAGTAATTTAGCCTGGTACTTTCCACCAGCAAATACGCCTTTCATTTTATAGCTTTATTCCTGTTTGGTCTCTGTTGCTGTGATACCACATTTAGTCCCAGCGTAGAGCCTGTTCTTCCAGCCAGTAATGATGGCTCTGTGGTTAATTTTGGCAGTGAGGCTGGCCCATAGACTCAGCCTGCCAGATTTTTTGAACATCCGGAACACCTATTCATTCTCTGAATTTTAACTCTGGCAGTGGATGCTTCTGGCCACACGATACCTTTTCTCTTAAGCACACTTCTTCTTAGATATGCTTATTTCTCCATCCATCAAAGGTTGGCCAATATTACTGACTGGATAACTCGGCAATGTAAAACAAGTCTGGCAATGCTTTTGAAGGATAGAACTGCTGCAATGCAGCACAAAATTTTGTGCCAGAAAATTATCTGATCAGTGCAAACTTCACTGGGCGGCCCTTCTATGAGCAACTAAATCAAATTCCTTAAGAAAACCTCAGAGGAATGATGTGAACTGGCCAGGTTATTTCTTTTAGAGATTCCAGCAAAGAAAAATAGGACATTATGCATCATGTATTAGAGATGAAGTCACTGAAAACTGGGCTGTCTCAGCTGAAGTAGGACAGGTGGCAATAACTCTAACAGGCACACGTGCTAATCTTAGCCGGAGTTGGGGAGGAGAGAGAGATACACTGTTGGAGGAATTTGCTTTAGCAGCAGGTTTTGAAGCTTCTGTTTATAAGACCCAAATAGGATATTATTGATCTTAGCCCTTAACCATCACATTTCCCATTCTGGAATTATATCATTACTAATACTTTTTATTTGGAATAACAAAACCAAACCGATTCATATTGACAGCTTGTCCTAACTCACTCTCTGCTACTTTGGCTATTGTCAGAGTTTGTAATGGGTTAAAGACAGCTTAGCTTTAGCTCTGGATTTCCTATGAATATGAATTTACAGATGCACTCCTCCTCTCATCACATACTCTTTTTAAGGAGCGAAAAATCTGTTACGCCCCCAGCACTTCAGCTTAGCAGTAGCTTGTGCAGTGTTATAATAACTTTGGGAGCCCTCCATGGCTAGGAGTTCAGGACATTTTTATCTATCTTTTCTGAAGATGTTAAAAACCACTTTCATCTAGTTTTATTCCCTTTCTCATTTTCTTTCTTCAACAGAATTCCAGTCTCTGGTGAAGGCATAAACAGCATTAGACCAAAGGCAACCTTGGACTGACTCTTCCAATTACCTCCTCCAACAAGCACCTCACACTCAGCATGTGTTTGTACATTTTTATACTGTTTCAAGGCATCAGCAAAATCGCCATGTATCAACCCCACACACAGGATTGCTGAGAGATCTTGCAATGTACAAATGTTTTGGTCACGTGGCATTGTTATATTTCTATTGTAAAGAAGGCACTTTGTGATTTTTATTGAACTTGTGGCTGGATGAAGGGAGAAAAGCAAAAAAAAAAAAACTTTGGGGGAAAAAAAACTGCTTTTTTTTATTCTGTTCAGGTTGTCCATGCCATACCGACTCGCCACCTCTCCTCACAGACACAGTTCTGATGATCTTAAACAATATGATATCTTTTAAAGCTTAACTGTCCTGATTTGGTGGAGTTTTATTTCTGCTTAATTCTCTGATCCTTGAGGAAAAGAAATGCTAACAAGATAGCTAAAAATAATCTATATTCAGTTCCAGTGCTGAGACTATGAGAAAAAAATTAAGAGGAGTTGACACATAGCTCAAAGCATGGAATAAACGTGTGGGTAATTTAAAAAAATCAAGTACTAGGCTACAGCATATATCGTCAGAGAGTGTTTATGGCCTAAAATGAAACTCTCCCTTAAGCAGATTTATCTTTCATGAAATCTAAGGCAGCTGTGAGACAGGGGAGAAGGTTCTAATCCCAACTCTGCCACTGTCAAAAGTCACAGTCCCTTGATGACCCATGTCCTAGGACTCGGGGGGGCGATTCTGTTAATCATGAGCACGTTGCTTATTATCTCTTAATACCTATAAAACTATAAGACTTTGACACATTTGTAAAATTCTATGTTTACTACAGATAAAACAATACTCAGTCTTGCTGTTTGTTCATCTAATGCCAAACAGAGTAAAAATACTATTCGTGTTATGTTGTTAAATAACAGCCATTACTCATTTATTATAGGGAATAACTATCAACATAAGCCATAATATCAGCAATTCACTGAAGTCGGAAAATAACTAAGAAAATGACTAAGAACTACTCTTTCCTTTACTAAGTCTTGTACAGGGTTTAGAGCTAGTTATAGCATTGTCTTCATTAACGGACAAAGTAAATAATGTTCATGATTAAATCCAGGGCGCAGTAGACTGGGTGGATGTTGTGCCTTTCTGGCTGAGTGGGTTGGAAATTTCCCTACCAACATTTAGTTGTCTCCTTTCTCATCCCAACCACGACATGGTTGCAGCTCACAAGTAGACTGTCATTTTAATATTCCCTGCTGAAACTGGATAATTATAATTTGGCAGCTGCTGCAAAAAAAAAGAGAAGAAACAAAGCCTTCTGGAACTTTTATGTAAGATACAGAGTTGGCATTTCCATGAATTGCAAGATGATTAGGTGAGGCAAGTACAGCTCACTTGCACCCAACCATGTAAGAGAGCTGTTTGGCAGATTTAAGACTGTTAATGCAAAAGAGGAATTCTAGCAATCAGTCTCACTGAAGCCTTGGGAGAATTATCATGAATATAAATCCTAATTCTATCCCCAACTCCTCTGATGTTAAATCTGGGTTTAAATTATAGCAGGTGTTAATTGCAACAGTGAAATATTGTGCATAATGAAGAGACTCTCTTGGTTCCTTTTACCTTCTTCCTTTTCCTATCCACTGAAGAAAAAATCCAGAGCAACCCAAATCTGCAGCAATATGCAAATATACTACATCATATACATTAGCCCCCCACACTAATAATCACTAAAATATGTCAGTATTCCAAAGCAGACAGCACATATGGGAATACCATAGGTGACAGACTTGATATTGCATTCCTTGCACACCTAAAAGTCTAATATGGAATGCAAGAAGTACAAGACTGCAGTGACACATCCTGTATTTCAGAGAGGCTAGGCAACCGCACGTCACTCCCTTCTGTTGCCGCAAGTGGGAATTAAGTACTTCTGAGAGTTAGGCAACTCCTGTATATGTTGCAACTCTAAGTAAAACTTAGAGAATTTTGTTCATAAGAAAATTTGCTCTCTTTAAACAGTAACTCCTGGTAAGATGGGTTTTAAATCTTGTTAAAGCCATCCAGTCACTTTCTTGGTTAGATAGATTATAGTAAACTCCCAAAAGTCCCAATTCCAACCTTCCAGGAAGGTCCTTTAAGTGAATTTAAGTTCAGCCAGTGGCAGCCTTCAATTTTCTTAAGAAATAGCAAAGAGTTTCTCTAAACTGGGACGCTGTCATAGCACTAGAGAAAACCTGCTGACTGCCAAATATCTATCTGGATGCCATCTGAAGTAGTAACGAGACATACGGTGATATCACCAATGTTACCATCATTGAGTGGCATAGAATCACCACAACTAAGGAACAGAATCACAGAGTAGTTTAGGCTGCGGGGAACCTCTGGAGGTCTCTGGTCCAACCCCTGATTCAGAGGGCCAACTCTAGAACAGATTGCTCTAAGCTGAGTTTGAGAATCTCCAAAGACAGATGTTCTACAATCCCTCTGGGCAATCTAATTAGGTATTAAATCCTCTAAATCAAACTTCTATGAATCAACTACACAAATAAAACACAGCTTAGTACACAGTAAAACCCCCAAGATTCTATTATAAACCATTTTTTATAAACCAGAAAGGATCTAGCAACATCCTGTATATCACCCTGATATCTTGTTCTCAGCTTATAGAGTAAGACCATCCTTCTCAGTACAATACCACTCCGTAATTCCCAGGATAAAAGAAATATTGTCTGTACACTTTACCTTTACTTAAGGTAATTAAAGAGTGACCCAAAATTTGAGCAGCAGAGCCTTCCACAGGGTCCAAAGACTGTAAGTTCTCAAGCACACCTCAGATGCATACACACTCCTCTCATTAGCCTATGTGAGCAATTTAATCTCTAATCCTTCCAAAACTTCTTCTGAAATAAAGATTTACTATGAACCCCGTATAGTGGGAACTGAACAAAGAAACTGATTGTCCTACACATGCTCTTACACAAAGGATATACGGTGGGCCCAACACCCCAAACCCAAACTACTCCTCCAGCTGTTGAATCCACCATGTCTCTCACGCAAAAATTTTGGTTTGCCCTGATAAAAAAAGGATGAAAGAGCAGAATGATGCATGAAAAAGATAAAATCTCCTGATATTCAATAGAAGCTGGCTGCCTGATACCTTTACGTTCCTGTGGAAATCCCAGCCTTGAGCCTTTTGTAAACTTCAAATTCAATTTCAGCTCTCTAACTCCTCAAAATCTGGCATTCATCTTCTAATAAAAGGAGTGAGAGAGCAGAGAAAGGGCAAGGGGGTGTCAGAACATTCATTACACACAGACTGGTAAAGTTTCTTCTCTGAGTTAGCAGCCAGCCCACGTGGAAAATCTATCATGCCACATCATCAGAGACGCCTGGAGCTCTTCACACAAATCGTGTGGGCAGAGGGGCCAAGGCAGGATTCATTTCCGGGAATGGGTTACTGAAATAGATACATCTTGATTAAATCCCTGAACAGAGGTATACCTAACATTTTCACTCTTAGTCGTTTGTATATTTTAAAACATTTTAGTAAGTGGACGCTGTGGAATCTGAACTAATTTAATTTAAAGTTTCATATTTTATGGAACTCTCTGCTTTTCCACATTACTTTTGCTTGCAAGCACAGAGACAACATTACATCAGTGTGGACTTAAAGTCCTATAGAGCAAACTGTCTATCAGTTGGGATACTCAATAACTTTGGATTTGCTCATCAGTGTGTCCTACACTCATGAAAACAAGAAAATAGTAGCTTCTGTATAACAAGGTCCAAAAGACAAAATCAGCTTACCACACCAATTACACTATGAAGAGAAGGTGCCCCCAGACAATGACTTCCCCTGGAGTTACAAATACACTACTGGTCCTACAGTTCAAAGGGAAACTTATGTCAAATTGAGAACGTACAAATACCTAACTCAGAAGGAATTGCTTTGGTTTCATCACATCTAGATAGATAGTTATCAGCTGGTATTTCCCAGACACTAGCTTGCTGCACTGACTCCTGGGCTCAAAGAACAAACTGACCTCATATTTGCAATGACCTCCCTGGCAGGCTGTAACATTTCGACAGCACAAACACAGGAAAATCTTTCTTCCATATCTAGCTGAAACAATCCACTCTTCCTCAGTATTATTTAAAAAATGGCCCCTAGACATCCCCTGGACCACCTGTTCTCATTTTCTGTTCTTCAGTTCTCTCTCATCCTAGTCCCCACAGAGAGTTCATGGCTGGACTTGATTGTCTTTGGTGCCATCTACAGGCAAGCTCTGGTTAGCCACATGAATACCCAATATTTAAAGCGTTAACGATGAACGCTTTGTAATCTCCATGTAGTCTGGAGTTATTTCTTCAATGTTCATTAAATCCTTGCACAATTATCAGATCCCCTCCAATACCAGGCAATATTCTAAATTATTTCTTAGGAATTTTAAACAAAGGCAAAGCTAGATTCCCAGATGGGAAGACTGACTGGAGCATTAAGTTTATATATCCATCAGTTCAGGACAAAATGCCTTTAAAAGTAACTTGCTCAGTAGAGGGTCCTATTAATACCTCACTAAGAGAAAAGCTGCAGCTTGTGCTTAGCTGTTGTTTGAATCCTCACAAGAACTTATTTTTTCAATGCAGAAAAGACAATTGTCACTGATTTCACTTAGGAAAAGCTCAGTTTCGCTTCTTGCCTTACCTTTAATTGGTGCATAATGCTGTGTGCCACTGAACAACTGACAACCTTCATTACATAAATGGACAGATTTACTATTGTTATTATTTAAAATGTGCATCATGTAGGGAATTAATACTGAGCAAATTTCTTTTGCTATTATATTCTTTTGCTTTATATTCTAAAGTACGGATTTCAGTAACTGAATAACTGAACCTTACATAGCAGTTTATTAAGAATGATTTGGGATCACTCAAAATTAAAGGTTTTATCTATGTGAGATTCTACTTGTATGTCAGATAGATCTACAACATGTGTCACCAATATTGCTATTATTTGAAGACTACCAGGGAGATTACAGGAGCAATGCTTTCATGGGCAATTGCTATCAGGATTAGGCCCTCAAAAGTCAGAGTCTATCATGAAGATGTCTATTTCTACTCAGCATTTAAGCAATAAAATGTCTACAAAACTTGTTCACCCACAACTCAAAAATCACTCACTAGACTAAAAATAGGCACAAGTTGAGAGGATTTACTTTTTATGGCACTAAACCTTACACATTGTCTAAAATACCATACACATTCCTTTGGGATATAAACATCAATCTGATTAGCTAGCAGGTCTTGTCAGCTACAGTAACTTATCCTCTGGGGTATCTGAGCCATCACGTGGCTCTAGGACTTCTGTAAAAGGTCAGGAGGACTTAACTAAGGTCTATATAAGTCATTATCTCTGCCATTTAAGAAAGAATTAAGTCAAGAGGACTCTGTAGATCTTTTACATTTTGTTCTGTTCTTGGCTTGGGGAAAATAAAGGAACAAGGGGAGTTGAATCTCTCCTCTGGGAGCTTTTGTAGTCATCACATCAGTTTACCCACCCCCCCTTCCCCCCAAAAAACACACAGAAATAACCAAGGATCCCAAAATGCAGTGCACTTCTATTTTGGTTTTGTCCTCAGTCTGTGCACCCAATCTTCTTAACCAGAGACAACAGCAAAGCAGATCCACTACATGTGTCTGAAGAAAAGGATGGAAGAGTCAGTGCTCCTGCAGGGCAGCTCCCCTGGTTTGCAGTGGGACCTG